CCTTAGCAAAGCGCATCCCAGGCTGCATAGCCGCACTACCCTACCCAACCATACCACACATAAACATGACACTACCCCCGGGGTTTACACAGACGAGCCGGCGAAGCAAGAAGAGCGCCAGAAGAAAGGGCCCTAGCCGGCGGGGCCCAGCCAGGACAAAAGGAGGTCCCACAAAGCGCCTACACCGGCCGCATTTGCGGTCGGGGTAGACGACGGATGGGGCCCACCTACGAAGGCTGTCCAGGCCTACACGAGATGAGGCAGGATAAAGAGGGATAATCCCCCTCGATCCCAAATCATTGAGGCCAATTTCTAGCCACAGAATAATGGCGCGAGTGAAACGAATTCACTCACGAAACAATTAAATATTAAAGTGGCAACACTCTCGTGTCAAATTGTACATTTGGAAGAAGAAGAAGACATCACGGTGATATCTAGCGGAGGACGCGGATAATTAAATTTATAGAATCCTATCTAAAAAATAGGTGCAGATATCGTCAAGTTATATTTTCGCTTACGTAATATAAAATTTCAAATTAAAATTAAAAAAGTGGAACTATAATTAAATTAACTAATTCCTTTATAAGGAATAATAAAAAAACATATATGTATGTTTAAGAAATTAACAGTTCCATTTTCTTTACAGTTGAAAGTCTACCTACACTATTCAAATTTCAGCGGGAATATTTACTATTTTGACGTGAAAATATGATTTAAAAAAATCGTCTGTGTAGCTTTACGTCTCAAAAATAAGATAATAAGCACATGGTCCATTGAGAAATATACTCCTATTTGTAAAGTTTTACCAACCCTAGAATACTTGGCATGTTCTTTCAAAATACTGACCATTTTGGTCTCGAGATTAATTATGAAAATTTCTTTTCAACAAACATTTTCATCTATAAAATAAAATCCTGGATTTAAAAGTTTAAGAGTTATAGGTATGTCATATTATAATTTAAATGAAGGAAATCTTTTGGAGATTTCTTACGAATAAACGAATACATGTGAATTTTTTTTTTTTAGTCTCCCATTTCAGTAGTGTTCAAACGGTCAAAACATTTAATAGTACTTTTGCATTGAAGGTTTGCCATAAAATGTAATGAAATAGTTTTTCAGGATGAAGATAGCATTGTATGAAAAATTTATTTTTTTACATATATACAAGAGAATATTAACAAAATTAATCTATCAAACCTGTTGGAGATATTTAAATTAAAATTATCTTTGAATAATTAACACAATCTTTTAACATCATATATTAGAAAAGCAAAAAATAAGCTTAGAATAATGTTAATACACAATTACAAATTTTTTAAATTTTCTTTAAAAAAATAATAAAATTAGTGGTACTTTTATAAATAATTAACTATAAATTTCTTCTATCCAGTTTTCTCTTTATACGTTATTACACCCTTAGCTATTAAATCCGGAATCTCAACCGCTAGCCATGGTCCAAGCTAAAAAAAGTAATATGAAATAAGTATATTATAAATGGTTCTTTAATTGTACCCCTAGAGCCATCGCATGGCCAATTCCAAACTTAGGTACATTTCTCGCCCACAATGGTTTAAAATGATCACTTAAACATATCTTTCCACCCCTGTACATTTTCGCAGTCTTTCCGTCAAGTTCTGGAAGAGCTATTTCTGGTGCCGTTGTAGGGTAAGTTACTGCAATCTGTTACAGAAAATGAAGTAAGTACTTTTTATTAACATTGTTGATTTACGTACATCAAACTCTACATCGAATTCATATTTCAGAAGGTCGTGGATGAACCAGCATTTTCCAAACCACTTTGTGCCTTCCTTATTCGATTCCAATCTGAACCAGTCATTATCTGCTGCTTTGTTATTTTGTACATACTGGAATCAATTAAAACATATGTTAGTTATAGGTTAGGTTCACCTTATCTTGTTCTGATTACTAAAATACCTTAATTAGAGATTGGTACTCTTCTTTTAACCTTTCAACCCATAATTCTTTATCTCTGGGACCTGCTTTAGTTTTTAGTAAAGGTATGTTGCTTAATGTTTTCCTAGTACCCTCGTCTACCATTTTTAAAAAATTGGGAACAAAGACAGCTGAGCAGCCGAGGCAATGAGTTGTCAATAAGCTAACTTCAGAGGGGTCCTGTCTAAAGTATCATTTATGGCGTTTTCCAATTTTGTCATAATGTCAATTTGCTGGATTTGTATAGAAAAAATACATAAGTTTAAGATAATTAAAAACAAATCAAGTAAACTATCTGATCACCAGTGGATGAGATAGTAATTATAAAATATGTATAAGCGCCCCAGAGTGTTAAATGGGTTAACCTACTCTTCTATAATAATTGTCACTAGGGGCGATACTTTAGCCACTATATAGTTACTTTTGATTTTTGAAGTTAGTATCACTGAAAGAAAAAGTCCAAGTAAAATTAATTGTAACAAATCTCATGGTAGTGCGTATAATCATGATAATGTTGAAAATTTTTGAAAAATCAAATGGCTGATACGTTTTTTGACTTTGACACATCCTTAAATGTAAGTTGATACCGTCTTGATTTGAACGACATGCCAAAGTTTGGAAAAAATGATCTACTTTCTGGTAAAAAGTAAAAGTTGTGACACGGTTGTTAACAAAAAAATGCACTGCTTTTTGCTTGTTTTTCTTCAAAATTTTTTCTAATAACTATTTAGTCCGTCAGCTGAATAAGGAAAGACGAGAAACTGTTAATTATTTATAGTAATAATTGCGATAATTTAACTAGGTTAACCCTGCATTTTTTAAGGAATTGTATGCGTTATTTTGCGCAATACTTCTTTTCCTAGTGTTATAATAATACAACTACACTATTTAATATCTATTCAATATGATTATCAAGTATCTTGATATTTTGAAGAATGGTGACAACGTCCTTCCACCAGATGAAGACGAGTGTTTGGAGAATGAGGAGGAATACGATGCTTTGAACGATGAGACATTCGGGGAACTTGAGGATGCTTCCAGTTTAGAAGATTGGGAACGGCAGCATGAACAGTTTGCTGAAATTGCAGAGAGTACTAAACACTCGGAACAGATAGGTTAGTACTTAATTTTTGGAATTCAGTAATTCGTTAATATTCTGAAAAGAGCTACATGTGTGCTTGCTTCAAATGAAATAGAAACAGATTCAATTCTTAAATAGATCCATGCATACTTGTATACAACACTCGAAAATGTACTGGGGGGTATTTATATATAGTTTTTAGAATCTTATCTTTTGTGGAATGAAGTGGATATTAACCTCTTATTCATTCATGAATGATAACACATAGGAATTGTGACACATCAAACCACATGCTGTTATTTTATCTCTGTTTATTTTTATTTTGCTTGGTCTGCACATAGATAAAGAAGAATAACAAGCTGTAAGTTCATTTATTGAAAAATGTACTGGACTCCCTGTCAAATGAGGAAGTATTAATTTGGACCATCAAAACTAAAAATAAACAGAACTCAATACAAATTATAGAGCCTATTTCATCCTCTTGGTGTTGGCTAATATGTGTAGAGCTCAGTTTAGTGTTGCTTAAATTTATCACAAAAAAATAGGGGAATTTTATATGTAAATGCAAATTTTTTGATGAACCAAACCTGACAGACACTGCCTTAGGCCGGTGTCCCATGCATCCGAAATCCGATGTACAATACCCGAAAATATTTTAATTCGTACGAATGATAATATTATAATTCACATGCATCCGAAATTAATCTCATAGAAATCAAGTATAGAACCATGGAATTTATTACAAGATGAAGGTGAAACATTTTCAAATGACAACCATAGGTATATATTATAGAAAATATACGTAGTATTATATTTTCTACATTCGACATTATAATATAACATTTATTTGACTGTAAATATATCAAACAACAATCATAGTATGTTAAAAATTTAAAAAGTGAGGTTAAAAAACATACGATTTCGGATAAAAGTTAAAATTATTTCTACTTTTTCCGACGTCGTATGAATTTTAAAAATTTCGGATGAAAATGAGTGGTAAATATTTGAATGTATATTAACCAATAGGAACACTTTCGGACCTTCGTATCGTCGGAATTCGGATGCATGGGACACCGGCCTTAACATACATATATAAATTTGGTGATATTTAAAACAAAAAGAGAATAAATATTTCAGTGAATAAACATTGCATAGTAGATATTTCTAAAGTTAAAAAACAACCGCATTAAATTGGCAGGACTAAACTTGATGCCAAATTTGAATTAAATTACAATTTAAGTCACATTGAGATCGTATCAAAATTACATATCAATGTTATCTACAATTAATTGTTGAAGGAGTATCGTATCGTGCTTGCGTACAGTACTTATATGTCGAGATATAACGCATCGAAAACTGGTGTTGAGGAAATATGGCACAAGTAAAGACACCGTTTTTATGAACACTCGATACAAAAAACTGAAATTGTACTTTGTTTCTCACATGTTGTGTTTATAAAATTGTCATTCGGGAAATGTTTTATAATGTATGAAAACAAAATAACTACTGCAGATTGTGCCTTTCACTCACAGGTATTATTATTATTGAAATAATATTGTTGGAGATTGTTTTTCAGAAAGAATTACTGTTTACAATACTCTGAATTATTATTTTGTTTCTGTGTAATGAAATATAAAAACAGTATGAAGCATTAGATTTTGCCATATTTTACCCTACCGAGGCTTCTAAATATTGAAAAATATTTACGAGCATTTTTGAGAAAATTTTTATTTTACTGCAATTAAACAGGATGTAAGAAGTTTGACTGCCATTATTTCAGCATGAGATAGAGTAAGCATAAACGAACAAAAAAGTTGTGTATTACATTGGCGTAAGATTAACAGTTTTCAAAATACAGTGAGTGTTAATATTGGGGAGTTTCATCACAATGTTACAACAGCGCTTAATCAAACGCTACACAGCTGATGCATACCACGTGTGAACGCGGAAGACTTGTCCTACGGAAAAAATGTAAACAACTATTATTGTGAAACATTTAGTAAATTTCAAGACAATTGGTTTCCAGTTTTTAAATAAATAAAATAAAATGTATCGACTTTGTAGTACGAAGATAGTGTTGTGCTTAAATTTTAGCGCACATTTTAGTAATTAAGAATCTCTCAAACAAAACTTTTAATCAAATTATGAATTTGAAAAATATGTAATTAGTATCCAAAGATTTACGTTATCCAAATAATCATATGTATTAAAAAAAATTTAGGTACTTAACAAAAAGCAAAATTCAGTAATTTTTAAACACACAAGTATAAAACAAACTACAACATATATTCAAAATGTCCACCACCATTTTCTATGCACGCACGACACCTTCGAATCCAATATTCGCGCACTCGCTGGAAAACACCTCAAAAAATGGAAATAGTGGTACGCAAAAAACACTCCGATACAGTCAAATTCCAGATACCAACTGAATTGTGTATTGGTAAGCGGCTTAGTACCTCATGTTAATCGTCGCGCCGTTGTCACATTGCTCGATATGAATTTTATTGAATACTAATTATTTTTTAAAATTAAGCATAAAGAAGTTCAAAAAAAGTGATAAACATTGTTGGAAATTTTGACAATTTTTTTCTCGGAATTGGTTGAGTTTAGGACCCATGTCATATAAGGCTTTTTTGTTTATTTTAATGTATTCTATCATCTGTTAAAATTAAGGCAGTCAAACTTGCAACACTCTGTATAGTGGAGAACATAAATTTGCAAATCTTTTACGTTTATGTTTATTTATTTTCGTTTGCTTGAAGAACATTCTTCAGAAGTAAATTGTAAGGTAAAGCAGAACAAGTGTCTTGTTTGCAATATTTTCTGTTAAGGCACATTCTGATAAAAAAAAAGTGTTCAAGGCAGAAAGAGACAGAACGGATGTATCATTTGTCAATTTTTTTGGCTAAAATATATTCGCTTGGGCAATGAGGGAGGCAATTATTAAAAAAAGACATATTATGAATTGACGGTGGTAAATATTGCCTTTGTTATTAATTTGTCAAGTTTACTGAAAAGGAAATGCAGATGTTGATTTGTTTCCACAATTTACAAAAACAGATTTTAGAGAATATATTTTTAATTGAGTTCGATTAACAAAAACAGAAATGACTTTAATTGATTTTATTTTTTTGCCGCTATTCTGGCACTCACTCCGACATTTTAAGGCCAGGCGGAATAGTATTCCAATGGTCTTGGCCTCGAACGAAGACAAGCCTTGAATAGTGTCTACGTTTATACGGTGCTCAGCTTTTTAAAAAAACAGTAAATTGCTCTCGTGTCTCAATTACATTACTATAAATATTAAATGCTGTAATTACGTATCAGTTTATCAGTAGGCAACATTTTTTTTTTTTTTAACTAACAAGTTAGATGTGCAATGCAATAACTATATCATATTTTTTAGAAAACTCCATATCACAACTAGTTTTAGAAAACTCGGAAGATCCTTTATCGTTATCTAGTTCTGTTTGGTCTTATACGCCTTCCAGTAAAAATGGTGATATTTACAATAGTTCCAGTATACTCTCATCTTTGCAGAAGGCATCCAAAGCATTCGTAAGTGATTTTAGTATTATTCATCAGTAAATTTAAAACATTTAGAGACTTTTTGGAAAAATATATTTGCTCTATCCTTATTATTACTCGTTTTATTGATTCCTATACATTGAAACGTATGACGTTCCAGATTGAGACCCACAGAGATAACTCCTCAAAACCGAGCGTCAGCATTAACCAGCAACTCAATTCTTCTGCTCCTCTAACATCCGCCTTACCCCAAATAAGGAAAATCTGTACGGTAGAAGAGTTAGAGAAAAATCTTATAAAGACATCGAAGCATGTTCCTCAACAGCAGACACCGCCTAGGCCGCTATTGCCACCGCCGGGGCATCATCAAGGACATCCCTACCACCCTATGTTACAGGTGAGTCATTGCGTTATTATGTCGATTGTCACTTTTTAAAATAATTTTGTTCTACAGCTTTGCGTAAAATGTGTTTTTGTCATTATTTTATCGTTTTGTACAAAAAAGAAAAAGTATATTTGATTTCGAATGTCCATTCGTAGAATAATGCCGTCTAGTACCTTAGTATCCCCTACATATTAAATATCTATTAATGTCTATTAACACTATGTTAGGATTAAAATCTTAAAATTTTAAAATGGAAAAGTTTTACTTACATTTCTGTATTTTTTGGGATAGTGAAAAATAGATATACTTCGGTTGTCTTTGTAATAAATATATTATACAAGGTGTTTGGTAAGTCAATGCATTCTTTGTAGGGGGTTATAGTACAATGCATTTGTGATATATTTCCTTAATATACCATATTCCAAAAACGCTTAGTTTCTGATCTGCAGGGTATTAAAGTTTTAATAACAAAATACAAATTTATAAATATTAGAGAAACCGCTCAGAATATTTTAATGAAATTTTGCAGGCTTTAGCAGTTAACAACAATACATGTTTTACAATAAAAATATTGTTTTCAGTTTCACCAGTGGCCTGTGCACAGGCATGTCACTAGATATTGTTAATGAAAAAATGATACACCACCGATTTTTCTTAAAATAAAAATTATTTTTCAATTCCTTGTTCAATTTGGAAGAGAAAAGGTATGTTGTCGACTGTTTTTCTTATGATGCTCCGTTTTGGAGAAAAAAAAATTAAATCGATTTATTGCATGGCGTAATTCGGTTTCGATAATTTGAAAAATAGAGGAAATTATGCACATGTCTGCTTCACACTCAAACACTCAAAAGAAATTAATTATCGTATATGAGTTTATTGTTTTTCAAAATATTCGCCATGAAGATCAACACAATTTTGCATCTGCTTGAACCAATTTTTGAAGCACTTTCCATTCCGATTGAGGCACCTCCAAAACATGTATTTTGAATACATCAACCGTTTCTTCAGGCATTGAAAAACGTTGACCTTGTAATTTATTTTTGATGTGCGAAAAAAAGTTATTGAGTCCCAAATCAGGGCTATACGGCAGATGACTCATCAATTCGACTTTTTCTGTCTTGTTCTGGTGGAGAATGATGCGTCTTCTGTTGTTGGTTTCTCTTATTTTTCCAAAGACTTCTGGCAAACAAACGGTTGTGTACCATTCAGAATTGACCATCCGATGTTGTACTTATGGTGCAATTACCACATGCAAAAACAAACAAATAATAAATAAATTTAAACTAACGAACTTAATTAAAAAAGAAGAACCGCTTCCAGTTGTGTTGATTTTAAAAATGGCATTAATATTTTCCTTAAAAAAACGATTGCTACTACTTTTAATGTCATTCGTAGCATACCATCCCGCCTCCGGGTCTATCTCCCATGGGTATACCACCGCCCGGATTGAGACACATGTCGCCACAGATGAACCCCCACCAGTCGCATCACCACCCAATCCTACCGCCGGGCCTTCTGAGAATGATGCCGCCTCATCCGCAGTTCATGCAATCCAACGGTCCACCGAGACCGCCAAACTTCATGTATCCCGGGCACAATCAGGGGCAGTTCCCGGTAAGTATTGTCACATTTGATAAAGCCCCTACATTATATTCGCTACTAAACAGTTCAAATGCTTTACAGCAACTAACTTGGACTGCATTTGAGATTTCTATATTTATAGTCGTAATGAAATGATTTAGTAAAAAAAAAACTTAAAACGAAGACATTCTACAGTTGTTTAAGAATTTTAATTTGTTTCGGGGAAGTCTTTGTAGCAATACAATGTGCCTCCACGTTACAGGAGTTACTTAACCTCAAACTTTTCTTATGTCGATATTTTTTTATCTAATTTTATCGATCGATTCAAGAGAAAAAATTAGAATCGACCATTACATGCGTCAACGAATTCGTATTGAAGCAAAATTCTAAGGCAGATTATGTATCGTCTTCAAGGTAAATCACCCGTTTAACTTCCCGCCGCCTCCCCGCCACATGAACAACATTGCGGGCAACTGTCAGCAGCAGAGGAACCACCACAGCCCGCAGCAGCTGCCCCACCACCTCCAGCAGAACCAGCAGAAGGTGAGACGGGACAGCGGCGGTAGCAGACAGCAGCAGAAGGAGAACCAGGAACCGAGGGACGAATACGCCGGGCTCATGTCCATGAAGGAGAAGCAGTGGCTGTTGAATATTCAGATGTTGCAGTTGAACACCGGGACGCCCTATTTCGACGACTATTATTATACGGTAAGTTACGATTTTGAGATTATTCTTGTTTTACTCAAAAATAATATTTTTTTGTTGTGTGCTGCCCCGTCTTAAGGGTGGTTGTAGGTAAACTGTTTTATTTAAAATTGACGGGATTTTTGCAAAGAACGGAATACCTGAATTTTTCTGCTGGAATAACTAGAACATAAATCAGTTTTTGAGCTTTCTTTGGCCTTGGAAAATTTAATTCTACTTATACTTTTTTGTTTGTTTTTAAGCAAAGGATTACAAGTACTTAACATCGATTTAAATAAAAGCTCCTGGCATTGCAAATTTGCAAATGCAGAGTTTAAAATGAATTTAATTCTTATAAGACTGAAATTTCCGTGAAAAACTACGGAAAAAGTTACCATGATGAACTGTTCTTCTCTTTGCCCTAACTCGGATAATGTCAGGAAAAAATAAAAATAGATAATCGAAAAACTTAGTTTCTTCAAAATATCTCAAAACATAAAAAATATATGAGGATTGCTCTTTATATTTTCAAAATAAAAAACAATAAATACACTTTTGCATGCGCTTGAACCAATTTTCGCAACATTTTAAAACAAAAACAAAAAAGCGCCATTGGGTGCCGAATCACAGGGCTGTATGGCGGATAACTTATCAATTCGATTTTTTCATTTCTCAAAAAGTCTCTTGTGGTAGCTTGCATTGTCCTGGTGGAGAATGATATGTCTTAGAGTTGGTTTTTCTTGTTTTTCCAAAGGCAAGCAAATGGTTGTCTATCATTCAGAATTGACCGTCCGATGTTGCGCTAATAGTAGTTACCACATGTCTGTCTCTTGTTCTGGTGGAGTTTGACGCGTCTTCCATTGTTGGTTTCTCTTATTTTTCCAAAGACTTCTGGCAAACAAACGGTTATGTACCATTCAGAATTGACCGTCCGACTTTGCACTTATGGTGCAATTACCACATGCCCGTTGTTTTTCCGAATGTGAATAACTTTTGTTGAATTTGGCAAATTTTTATAGATTTTATTAGATACAGTTTGTCTAAATATGAATTAATGCACAAATAACAGACTGTTGTCCATTTTAATGTAGATTTTCTATAAAATGGACTTACTTTGAAACTCAAATTACTTTTTGGTGTAAAGAAATTTGTCATTTACGATGCCGCTTGTTCAAAAGTGGCAAATTATAAATTTCTTTACAACAAAAAGTAATTTGAGTTTCAAACTAACTCCATTTCATAGAAAATCTGAGTTAGAATGGAGGAAAATCTGTTATTTGTGCAATAATTCATATTTAGACAAACTGTGCAATAAAATCTATAAAAATATATTGCTGGTTGCCTTTTTGCTATAGAGCCCACTTAATTCCATTTTTTGACCGAGATAAATTTTTCATGTTACTGTAAATAACACAAATAGCGCCTGCACGTCAAAATGTTCAGAATAAGTATGCCGACAAAAAGTCAAACTACGGTAGGGACATCAGTTATTAGATGGCAGCACCAAGATCGTTCATTCAATTGAAAATTGTCTACTTTATTTAATTAATTCCCTAATAGAGACTTTTTCCTAATTCTATCTTTTCACTGCTTTCAATATCCTTGATTCACATCATTGTCTTAGACACTGTGGGTACACATGCCGCAAGTGACCCATTTTTAAGTACAACGTCAATAGCGCCATCCTGACACCATCCGGGGCGCAACAGGGTTCCAAAAAAAAAGGTCGACGGCAGATTGGCGTCAAGGAACAGGTACTTCTGCGAGCTACTCCATACCAAGAGGTACTCTCCAGCAAACGCTCGAACCGACAACACGTCTTTTTCCACAAACTTAGTTTTCAATAAAAATAGTTTATTTCTACCAATGAGAGAGCGTTTTATTTTTGCTGTACAGCGAAAGCAACCCTCAACACGAATTTTTGCTAATTTCTTTTTTTTTTTAGATATTCAAGGAGAGGAAATTAAAGAGCAACAAAGAAAACCTCGCCGGCGACAAGAACACGCCGTTTACCAACAAGAGACAGCACAGGAATAGCGATCGGCAAGAGAACCAAAATACGTTGACACCGAGAGTCTACACTCCTTTACAGTTTGAGAATTCTTTGGGAAAATTGCAGGTAAAGAAAGTTTGTATTAAAAAAGTCTCCGATACATCAAGATAAATTTTTTTTTAGTGTGGGTCGGTAACTGCGCCAAGAAAGATCATAGACATGGACATCGTCACGCCGGACAAGGACAACGACAGCCCCCAGGTGTCCCGGGATACCAGAAAAACCAAACAGCTTTTGCTTGAACTGGAGGCTCTGTACGCATTGCTGTTGAAGGCGGAGGATATAAGAAATCCTCTGTATATTAGTAATATGGAGAAGTTGAGAGAAATCAAACAAAAGCAAAGGTAAGAGATTAATTTGTTCGTTTGTTTTCTACTGAGAAATTGTAATTTATAACTTGTGTAAATGTGCACATCCTGCTTAAATTCTATTTGCAATGTTAATAATGTGGTTATTATGTAATTTTAAATGTTGCTAATTCTTGTTAATGGTTCTTTTTTAGAAGAGGAAGAAGAGGAAAGTAGTTCAAATTTGTTTTAAGGTTATGTCGTATATAGAAGTTGATGTTTCTGTGTAAAATCAATGGCATCATAGATATTAAACTAAAATAATATTTTAACTGCATTGAATACATATATTGAAATATTTTTTTTTTAGGTTAAGAGAATTGGAACTGGCGCCAACACCGGAGCAAAAACAGGAAGTTTTAAGACTTTTCAAACTAGAGAGCGAACCTGTTGTGGAGAATCAGAACGATTATATCATGAAATTAGTCCAAGGGCTGTTGCAAGAGGACAAGTTTTCTAGTTTTCTTAATATTAGGAAAGGAAAGGTACGTAAAATCGTCGTATACCTTACAGTTCACTTTACTTATCCGTTCTTTTCCAGATGCTGGTATTGAGATTGTTACCGCATTTAACAACTGAAGCATTTTCGTCTCAGTTACTAGAACTGTGGACTAGGGTCCTGCTTAGCTTGCCGATAGTGGGTAGGAGAGATACTGCCGGAGATAACATTTTACCGAAACTGTTTCCTTCTTTTAAAAAGTGAGTAATTTTTATTTTTCTTCCGAAAGGAGATGCTTATCGAACGTTATTTCAGGTATATTCAATCTAGTAAAATGTCGGACTTGTTGGAAATCGTTTCGGGACTGGTAGAGGTAGTCCGACAGGAAAACAACAGGAGTACGCCGTTGAGTCACGTCGGCAAATCACCGTTGTATTTTGTGGTACTCAATAAGGTAAGCAAAAAAATTTTTTTCAGAAAGTATTTTTTGTTGTTTCGTAAAGGTAGATCTGTTGGTAATCGTGAATGTTTGTCAGAAGTGGAACAACCGACGAACCATCCAGCTGTTTTCAATATCTTGAGTCTAATGAGTCTGGGACCGGTATATGCATGATGGTTCGACTGACGAACAGTCCTAGTTCAGGGCTTCCAGTGTCACTTGGATCTTTTTTGTAATTCTTTTAAAAATTGATCACTAAAGTCACTTTTTTGCAAACGAAATGCCTAAAAACCACTTTTAGGTCCCTTTTCTAAGTTACAGAAATTTACGTATTAAGAAAGTAACAAATTATGGAAAATTGGAATATATATATTGTACGAGTGCAGAAAAAGGAGGGGAACGTTATCGAAAGGTGTGTGCTCCAGGCAGCCAACGCCACAAAGCAATTCTTAGATTAATTCAGTTGGAACTACATCAACCATCCCGCTCACTGCCCTGATCTGACGCCTTCTGATTTTTAATCTTTTCTCTTCTCTGAAAGTGTTTATGGGTGGAAAAAGGTTTCATCGACGATGAGGTCCACAATGTTACGAAACAATGGACCCGAGAATTGGTGGGAGATCTTTTTGACAAAGGTATTCGAAAGTTCATCCCTCTGCATACAAAATACATAGAGGTTGAAGGCGACGACGTCTAAAAATAGTGTTTGGTATACTTCTGTGCATTGTAAATTTTTCATAAATATACTGCCGTTTCGATTTTTAAAAAATTGGGTACTCTTTGTGGATATGCCTCGTATGAAATAGAAAAACATTACATTTCATTCTTTTGCAGTTTGGCGTATCGGCGCTGGTGACGATGCTGATAAGAACGGAATATCTGATATCGTCGGATGCTGCCTCGGAGAAGCAGCTGAACGACTGGTCGAACTTCCTCATAAGTTGGGCGCAACAGACGGAGGCAGCTAGCAAAATCGCAGCGCCTCTGGAGTTGATACCGTCGCAGATTTTTACCAAACACTGCAATCGATTTAACAATTTGAAAGCTGATAAGAGGTCACTGTTAGAAAAACACTATGTTGATTCGAAAACTAATTAAAAAAAAAAATTCAAAACAAAAAACATTAGATAGGAATTAAAGATGTTTTAATTTTTTTTGTAAACTATTTAATGTTCTTCTAACTTATTCATTTTTATATCAAAGTGTTGAATTTTAAATTTTGTTGAATAGATAAAGACTATCTTAACGTCAGTTATTTGTTATCAGTTAACAATAATACGATCGCAAGGTGTCAAATAACAGCGGTAGAGTAAAATATTCGTACATCAACGTGATATTATATAACGTTTTTTAATATATTACATAAGCAAAAAAAAAACTATAATTGTGTCTGGATATTTCACACTTTGCGAGGGCTGCTTTAGTATGGCGTTTTATGAAGTTAGGAAGTAGTGACTATAATAAATTGTTTATCTAACTTATTTTTTATTTGACGAATGTTCATTTTTGTACAAAATATAGAAACAAACAAAATGTATATTTTTAATAATGTGTAATTCAAATGTATTTGATATTTTTGTATTGTGTTCGTCTCGGTTAAATTATCTAATTCCGCAATGATTAATTCTGTACCATTGGCAATTTTTATTAGATATTTAATTACGTCGTTTGATTTTCTTTCAACTAAAGAAATTTCTTCCTAGTGCATGATTTGATATGTTTGTAAGTGCATTGGGAAAGCTAAGTGATAAATTTTATATGTATCGTTTATTTTTTAGTTTTATTTTAAGATATCGAAATATGTTTGAAAGATATCGTTTATATTATTAATATAAAGCTTTTTTCAATTAGATAGTCCTTGTCAACAAATATAAATAAAATATATTGACAGAAACTATGTATTTTAATTTCAAAAGAAAACCCAATATTTCATCTCCTGATTCAATTAAATTTCAACAACAAATTTGATAGTAAATGTGATGTAACTACATTAAAAAAAGATATTTGGAAGTGTAACTATCCTTGTCTTTACCTCTTAGACTTCATATCAATACCAAAATTTAATTTTTATCATAAATTATAGCTGTTCAACTTTCCTGGATTTTGTATCAGGATCGCAGAAAGTTAGAGAGGTTATTACCAGAAAGTAAATACCTCTTACACTTCATAGTATCCCAATACTAAAATTTAATTTTTAACAGAAATTTGATGTGTACGCCTCATTCTATGCTTGTACAGAAATCGGTGATTTTGGCATATTAGGAGCACAGAAAAGAAATTCGAAATTTTGCCTGGGTAATTAGGGAATAAAACACACCTAATGACTGAAGTATATATTTTAAATATTTTTGTTTAATACTGTTCCAACATATACAGTGCACAATTTTTTTTAACTGTATAAAACTAAAGCTTTATATAAATACAAAAGGCATATAATATAATTGATATACAGGGTGTTTCCCAAATTCGTCCTGTTCGTAGCTTAAGACTCTGTTGTACCTTTTAGAAATATCATTTTCTAGTAGAAAAACAGGATTAAGCGTAAACAAGGACGTTTGTAATAAATAAATAGGCATAATTTACGTAATTACAAATTGAAGTTTGTAAACAATTCAAACGATTTTACATAAAAATTTCTTAAAACTAATATTGACAAATACAAAAATAGTTAGTCGAATTTTCAGATGAGATCTTTTCGATTAATAATGCGAATAAAAAAAATTTAGGTACAAAAGAACTAACTCTACACGGCAAACGCCTACACTTTAAATAAAAAGCATATATTGCCTTAAAATTATTACTTTTAGTATATTAGAGACACTTTCAAAACAGCAAAATACCCAAACTATTTGGTGTTTCTCAATTTTCTTAAAAAAAAACAATTCGTCAATTTAGCACTCTTAACGCTACTATTAAAACACCCTTCTAAATGGTTTTAAACTTACAAAATACCTATCATAAACTCTATACTATCACAAAATTCAAACGTATTAATCCTCAAACTAATACAAGAAATCGTTGAAGACAACTTAGGCCGAGAATATCGAACTTAAAAGTTTATAATTATCCCGAGGATATAGGACAAGAGGGTTATCCTTAACGCTCGCCATTTCCCAGCTAATAACGAATTAAAGTCGCTGATATTCAGACGGCATCTCAGTCTATACCCTCAGACCTAAAAATGTGTAAGGGCCTAAATTTATTTATTATACAGGGTGCAGCTCTAAGCAGAGGTAATAGTATTTGTTCACAGAGAAGAACATTACTTTGAGTTATAATTTGATTTTTTTGTCTACGCCGTCACTGGGCAGCTCCAGAACTCAGTTGTATGCACGCGTTTATCAGTGTTGCTGTTGTTACTTTTTTTATATAAACAAACTGTATGAAATTAACAGAGTGGCAGAGAACTAAACTGCAATTGAGAATAATTTTGTAAAACATTACTTTTGAGTAGCGACCGAACAAGATTTCATCAGTATACGTGTATCTACCATGAAGTTATAACGTTAGGTGCGACGCAAGTTTTTGAACACATTGAATAGCGGACAGCAATCAAGTTCTATTTTAAAGCATACCGTGTAAGATTGATCGATCAGACTTCAGTGCAGAGTGCACAGTTTTGATGATTTCGTTCGTTCGGCTTGTGTGGGGACGCCCCGTCCTCTTATCATCGTGCATGCTGTCTCAGCCATCACAAAACTTCCCAAATCACAAGAACACTGTTGGACATGATACACAATCCTCACCGTACTTCGTTTTGTAACAGTTGATACATTTCTGCGGCTGTTTTACTGACTTTAAAACAAAACTTGATTGCTGTAAGCTGTTCAATGTGCGTTTCCATGACTATCAAAATATCGCTTCACGCAAACCGTTATAACTTCGTGGTAGATAGATGTGTACTGATGAAATTTTGTTGTCGCTAGAAAGGCCCACTAGGTCTCCACAATAAAATCAGTGTTAATACTTATAGTCTTTCCGACCTCAATTGAAGACCAAAGAGCTAGGGCAGTATGTACCAGGTTTGGTCACTACGCAGCAACTCGGCATTGAAATATTTGAAAAACTTGTTCCCATATTTATTCAGTCATATTAATATACAGATCTGATCGAACTAAACGTGGAAGTGGTAGAAATGTATATGTTCAGTTGAAGAATGGGCACGCGGGCAAACGGCGCACAAACACAGCCGCACTGGGCAACCACCCATAAATTTCAGTTGTTGACAAATTGCCTAGCAGTGCAGTGCAGCAAAGTAGAATTATTTTATAGTTGATTATTTTTATTTAATAACTTTTCTAACCTAAACTAACAACCTTTCCTCATCTTTTCAGAAGTAATATATTTTAATGAAAATGTAAATGTTTTTTGATACGTCATAATTAAAATTTACCATCAATAAATAAAAATTAAAATATACTGTTGGCCAAGTGAACATAAAATAGAAATTTTCTACGCATTATATTCAAATTATTATTTTTTAAATTTAGCAGAAAATTTTTTTAGGGACGCCTATGAAACTCATTAAATTTTATTGCTAGGTGTTTTTATACATGTTCAACTGACTTCGGAAAGACTATAATAGCCAGATGGTGGATGTTAGATAACTTTGTGACTTTCTGCATGACGTACGTTTCTCAGTTCAGTGTTTGTGTGTCTTCATTGTTAAATTTCTTAAAAAACAAGAAAAATTCAGTTTTCAGGACCGAATTTGAGAACAAATTTATGATATGTGTTTCTAAAGGCCAAAGGCAGCCTCCTCATAGATATGACCCCTATTCAAAGTTACACCCCGTATTTATTCCTTTATACCTAAACGGACTATAATGCCTAAACTGTCCGAAACAGGCGGGTGATTGCGTGCGTTAATAATATCCCTTTTTTTTTCTATATACTCAAGGTCCAGAGCTGAAAATATCAAACCACAGAAAGTATAAATGATAAAATAAAGTCTATTAATTATTTCTTTGATATATTTAAGACTAGGTGAGTGTTGTTAGCAAGTTTCCTTCTCGAGTTCAGTTTAAAACCTAAAAAACGGTAAGAATAAAATCGTATCAATCAAAAACCCTACGAATAAATGTACCGTAATATTGACTAGTAGATTTTGCGAAAAGTCTCCATCGTACTTATAATGGCGTTTCTTTCCTCCAATGAAAACTGTTAGTTTTCGAAGCCGGGTTCGCTCCGGACGCAGACTTCCTCAGGTTTGCCGCTGCCGTGTCGAGTCCGTTCTTCACGTTGGCGACCAACCTCAGCGCCGGATTGGTGACTATGCCGTTCCGTTTCGCTTTTTGATTACTAAAAACACACGAGTTAGCGGTGAAAATGGAAAAAATGTAAGCGGCCTCACTTAGACTTTGCGTTGTCCTGGGACTGGTCGGACTTCTTGTCCTTGCCGAAAGGAGAACTGCTGGAGTTGCCCAGGATTATCCTCATATGCGTATCGCGGGCGAAGTGAGTGTCGGGGGCCTTGGCGAAGTTGTTGTGTCTCAAGACGGGCTGGTAGATGTTCATCGCACCTAAAAACGAAAATAACGTAATGGGAAATTCAAATTGACTGTCCTTTATTCCTCACCGAACATATTTGGTGCATCGTGAACGGGACTGAGAGGTGGGGAAGCGTAAATCGGACTTTGCGGTTCGCTCTGCAAGGGAGACAGCAGTTTGCTTAAGGGTCTGGTTTTGCCGCCCCTCGAACACTGCTGGAGTTGTTGGGTGAAGGACATAGGCTGAAATTGTAAAGAAGTTAAAAAATAATCGTTGGATATTGTTCTGCGATTTTTTACTTGAGTATTCTGCGTGGTTTCTCTTTGCCGGTCGCCGTGCCGGCTGGAATGACTCGAACCCGTCAAATTGGAACTGGATTTGGAATTGGAACTGTGATTGCCGAGTGAAACCATAGACCTGCGCTGCTGGTCGGACCAGTCGCTGGTGCCGCCCGTTCCGGGGTACAGTATCGCGCACGACGGCTTGGTTTCTGCCGTGGAAGCTGAAAACAAAGTATAAAAACCTCAGCCCCCGTTAAATATGATCCTCAATCGAAGTTATAAAGAAACAGACGGGTTTGTTACCTGACGTTATGGAATTTGCACTGCTGCTAGTATGCGCCACCTTGTGGGATCTGGCGTTATATTCCTCCAACAGTCTAACAACCCCCCTGTGCCCCGACTTGGCGGCTACCCTCAAAGCATTCCGACCGCATGCGTCCGAATGGTTGGGGTCTGCGCCGTGTTCCAGCAGAGCGACAACGCACAATTCGTGTCCCTCTTGAGCGGCGATACCTAAAAAAAAAGTATAAAACGTTAATAAATAAATTCTATGATGGAACACCGGAAATACAGTACCCAAAGCGGTCGCTCCTTGGTTGCAAGTATGATCGGGCAGAGCACCATGTTCAAGCAGTATCTTTACGATGTCGTTGTGCCCCTGCCAACTGGCCGAGTGCAGTGCCGTCCTATTTTCCAGGTCGCAGGCGTCCACTTGCGCCTTACCGTACGTTAATAATAGGTTTACCATTTCCGTGTGTCCCTGCCAGGCAGACACATGTAATGGCGTTCGACCCTGCAAAAGAAAAAACATTTTTCGAAACGATGCAGATGTTAATCTAAATAATTGTTTACCTCTAAATCTCTGGTTTCAACATCAGCGCCGTGTTGTAGGAAATATTTCGCCATTGCCAGTCGATTGTCAAGTGCCAATACGTACAGAGTGCTTCTTCCGTCGGCATCTTTCGAGTCGATATCGGCTGAGTTCGTCACCAAGATTTGGATTATGTCGTAGTGGCCTTCCAAAGCTGCCAACCTAAAACAATAAATTATATTGGAGGCAATTTTGTCATTAAATGTCACATTTTTTAAAATACCATGTTGAGACATGCGAGATAATAATGTCTGCCATGGAACTATCGGAAAAAGAGATACCGATTGGCTCACTTTACAAAAAAGTTATGCCATTAAGGGACCACTGAAATCGTATGAACAAATCATACATTTTTTTAAGTTTTAGAGACATTCTTAAAAAAACATTTTTTTGATATTGTTTTATTTCTTTTCTCAGGTTTTTATCAAAGGTAGAGCGCAACGAACATGCTTCTTTATGGCAACTTTTTCTGTACTTTTTCATAAAAATGTCAATTTTAGAAGACCAAACAAAGTTAAAAAATGTTTCATAATGGCTGAAATATATCTGAAAAACATAAGTACCTACCTAAATTGTTACCAGTGATACATCAGTGAATGTAGAATTAAAAATATTTCCAAAACTTGTATTTTAAACACAAACTATTTAAGAAAGTGTTGTGAAACGTAGTAATAAACGGTAAACTGACATTACTTTGAAAAATGCATTGCCACAAAAACGTGTTTGTACCCTTTTGCCCTTTTTGCTCTAAATTTGATAACGTCCTTAAAAAATAAAACAGAAAATCGAAAAAATTGAGACCTCAAAATAACTTAACTAAAAAATACCTGAGACCTATTTACTCCACTTCAATGATATAACGCTTTCGCTGAGGCAATTAATTAACATACTAGTAGCGAATACGATGGTAGTAGTGATGGGCATAGTAGAACTAGTTCTCGAGAACTACTTGCTCCAAATGAACTAGTTCTTAAATCTAGTTTGCGAACTACTTTAGATATTCAACGAAGCAAGTCACTAGCAAAAGCATCTCTGGTTCTCCCGTTACCAGGCGCGATTGCGATTGTTCAGTCTCGGTGAAATGTGCTTGCAGATTAATTTACATTTAGAGGGGGGAGTAGAAATAAACTAGCAAATGTCAATCATTTCAAATTAGTAATATTTAAGAGCGGGTTAATTATTTCACATTATTTTTTAAAACGGTAGTCGTAACAAAAGTGTCCTATGGGATCATTTCGATAAACAAGACGTAAAAAAAGCAAAGTGTAAATATTGTAGTCAATATCCAAACAAAGACAAATCGATCTAAAGTACAATAGCCTCTCCAGCCTTTGTTTATATGCACAGTTGTCAGTATTAAGAGTCTCACTGTTTTGCCGTTGGAATTGCCGGCAAAGTTATAACAATAGACAGTTTTTTTGATTTTCTTTAAAACTTTAAAACCCCTTATTCTAGGAATTATAGATGCACTTTTATATTCCGTGAGCCTGCTTTCTTGTCCGCATCGCAATCGTACGTATGTATTGAAAAATTGTTTGTTTTAGTTTGCAAACTATTTCAGTCCGATCCGAATAATTATACATTACTTCGTTTCGTTGAGCAAACATAATGAATGAACGAAACGAATGCGCTGCTTTTTGCTTTAACAGACCGAAACAAAAGATCGGTCAAAATCAACACAAATAGTTCACACAAACTACTTTGTTTTAGAATAGGGAACCAGTTCTTTTAGTTCACTATAAAGAATCGTTCGTTTTTAACACGTCAAATATAAATTACAAGATCAACGTATTTCAACACCTGAACAAGCGGTTGTCGTATTCAAAATGCATGTTTTGGAGGAACCCTTAATCGGAATGGAAAAAGTGTGTTAGTTAATATTTTTAGAGGAAAAAAAAACAAATTTGGCCAGTTCTTTGATGAGAAAGATACATTTACATTTCCTAAGTTATTCCGTAGAATAATTATGAAAGTAATAAGGTTTTTCCTTGTTTTACGTTTCTTTATACCCGACATGCCAAATTGGCTAAAATTGTTCATCACGATGATAGAAAAGAAAATAAAACAACTAATAGTATAAAAAAAAACAAATACTACTTATAAACAGGTTATGTAATTTCCCCTAACCCCACTTTTCATTGTTTTCAATACAATAGACATCCACGGTATATAATCAATGGTAGCAAATAAAGAAAAACTGTAAGGGCATTAACGCTTACCTTAAAGCAGTCTTTCCGTCGTGCGGTCTCTGATCCACGGGAGCATTATACTTTTCAATAAATAAATTAACTAAAGAGGTGTGGCCGCCCTGCGCGGCTAGCGCTAGGGGAGCCTTCCCTTCGTTATCAGTCTCATCAACTCTCGCTCCTGCCTCCAAAAGGGCCTCGCATACGTCCTGGTGCCCTAATAACGAATACAATAAAGTGTAAAAGTCCAGCAACCTTATCGGTTTGTAATTATCTACCTTCGAAAGCGGCGTAATGTAGCGGCGTCCAACCGGAATTGTCACGATGCTGCTCGTCTAAGCCTCGGTCTAATAGCTGCCGTACGACTTCAACGCAACCTATTAAATTTTTGTATTACACAGGATATACAGACACTATGAGCAAAAAATTGAAGAAACTGTTCTATTCACAAAAATAAAGATTAATTTTAAAGTTTGTAGAAAAGTGTAAAAAGTGACTGCAAAAACCTGTCATTTTCGCCCATTTTTTCACAATTCGCAAAGAATTAAAAAATACATAAAAATACATATGTTTTTGGTTGCAAATTACTTGTCGTAAAAAACTGAAATGAGCATAGCTTTTAGTATTTTGAAAATTTTAAAAATCACCCATACTTTGGTGTTGAAAAAATGCCAAAAATGAAGAATTTGAATATTACCAATTGATATAAAAAGTATTACCATGTGAATTATCTTAATATTTTTTCAGAATTTTTACAATTATTTCTGATATTCTCTATTTCTGGGGATGATTCCACCCCCTGAGCGTGCTTAAGGGTGAATTTTCTAATTCAACATGCTTATTTTAGTCATGAGAATAAATCTTTCTCTGTATCAAGAATGCTAATAGTTTTTATATTTATTGGTAATATTCAATTCTTTATTTTGGGGGTCTTTTCAAACCCTAAATAGCCCCCTATTTTAAAATTTTCCACTATCACAACCGAAAAGTCATTTATTAATTATTTTAATTTAAAAAAATTTCAAATACTATCTATTTTAATAAAAAGGATTTTAATTGATTCTTCCCAGAAATGGTGGGTTTTTCAGTCATATTAATTTGAAAGACTTGATAGACATATCAGTTTTGACTTTTAATGCCTTTTTTTATAATATTTCATTTTACCTGAAACTGAAGAAAAAAGTATAATTATAACATAAATTTAACTTTGAATTTGAATAACTTTTGTACGAGTAGGTTTATCAAAAAATGATAAGCGACATTTTTTGTAATACGTTCAGTTCCCTACAAGAATATATTTCGGTCATTTAAATCCATCTATTGATTTTTAAGATATAAAATTCTGAAATTGAAAAATAATTTTTTCCTGTTATTTAAATGGAAAATAGAAAATCGCGATGCGCGACCTCTAAATATTAATATTAAGAGTTCCGATTTTTACAGGCATCTCTTCTCACCTCCCTGAATCTATTTCAGAGGGGATTTTGAAGAAAAAAAATAGTCTTTTTTTTTAATCGGCCTAATGCTTATATAGATTTTTTGAAAAAAATTCTTGGCAACATAATTAGTATTGACTATTTGAACTACTGCGTGACAGTAGTTAAGTTTAGCAGTAGCAGTGATGTTAGTTATTTGTAACCTATAAAACTAGTTGGCAGGTTATGTGCATAAAAGTTATTCAAAATTTTGTGTCTTTCATTAAGAAGATAGGAAATGTTAAGGAACAATGCGTTCAGGATATATTTTTTTAATTTGTCACAATAGCCCAGGAACAAGAAAAATAAAAAAGGATCAAAGTCCCTAATTATTCACTTTTACACTTTATGTATAATGCAATTTTAAAGAAATATTTTAAAATGTTAGTACCAAGTTATTTCATCTTTTAGAAAAATCACAAATATAATTATTTTTAGTTATTAAGGCATTTAAACCCTTTGGGAATAGTATTTTGATGTTTATTTTGGTCAGTACTGAGATTAAGTGTACAATATTTGAATAAAAAGTGACACAGGAACTCGTATCAATATTTTCATAAGTAGAATCCCGCTTAAATTTTTTTAACCTTATTATGGATTATTTTTCTGAACCTGGTCTGATTAAAATTCGATAAATCATGCTGCTTATCTTCTCTTTTATTGCGTGTTAAATTATTTTCCAGATCACATAATTAACATTCGAAAATTCCTTATAAGGCATCTTGAATCGTCAACATAAAAATTTGGGACTGGTGTAATCAATCACGGGTAAAAAAAATCAATCAATTATAAATTGTAAACGATAGCAATGCAAGTACAATAACATTAAAATAAAAAATAAACGTAGGAGGATAATAATAATTCAAAAGTCTTACCTTGTGCTGCGGCTACCGATAATACAGTCCTTCCCTCCGAATCCATAGAGTCTATGCAACAGCCCCAGAAGAGTAGCAATGCAACGACAGGAGCGTGGCCCATACTAGCTGCCGCCCACAAGGGACTTCTTCCGCCGTGATCGCAATGATCTACATCCGCTTCGTTTTCTAGGAGCAGTTCGCACACGTCCCTGCAAAAAAAAATGTTCGTCATTACCATCTAGATCATATAAAAACCTTAACAATTTGTGCGTAACGTCACTTTACTGGTGTTACTTGATAAAGTAATGAAATAAACGATATATACAGCCCGTACGATATTTGTTGAGATAGAATTCCAAGAAGACCCCTGCATCACTTTATTGGAATTAACCGCATTCGACACCTGAGGTAGAAAGACATTGGCTGAAAATTTCAATGCACTCCCCTGCCACAGTAAATTGTTACAGTAGTTTCGGTAATTTTCTTGGTATTCTATCTCAACAAATATTGTACGAACTGTAACACCCTTCCTACACTTGCTTTCGAGATCGACTGTCAAGGGTTTTTTTCGTGAGTCTGTCACTTCTTTGATTCTTTAATTTAATAGATGTATTTTTATTTTACTTTTTTTCAGATTTTCCAAGGTAAATTTTCTTTTAGAAAAATTTGCATGCTGAAAATCAACGATTTTCCCCAGAAGAGAAATGCGTGAAAAATTCCTGTTGTTTAGACGAAGATTAAGAGAAATGTTACCATAAACATAAAAAATTCATGCTCATTTTATTACAAATAGGTTTCTAGAGAGAGATCTTATTTTAATATTGAAACTTATTTTTTAAGTGAAGAATTAGACCATCGCAGAAGGACCAGATCTTTTTAATTTCATTTTTGTATATCAGAGACCGCCTCCAAAAAAACAAGTAAACAACAATGGGGCGTACAGAGGTGAAATGTAGTATATATGTGAAATTTAAAAAACAAATTAAATTTATAATAAATTACATTTAAAATAGGTAACAATTTTTGTAGGAACAAGGGTGCCAGACGTGAACTGATCCCTTCATCCCTTCACAATGCATAAAGAAATTATTCAATTTCTAAACCCCTTAAAACCGTACTGCACTGGATCCCTTGACAGGCAATGATTTATTACTTTACATCGAATATGATCCTACCATAACTAATCCCTTTTGTGTTCCTAACTTACTTGTGTCCTTCGAACGAAGCCACCAACAACGGGGTCATGCCCTCCTTGTCCTTGTGGTCGACCGTGGCCGCCCTTTCCAAAAGTGTCGAAACGACGCTAACTCCCGGCGTTCTCGGTGCGCACAATGCCGCCACCGACAGGGCCGTTCTGCCGTCCGCATCCGCGTGGTTGATATCCGCCCCGTAATTAAGCAAGTGTTCTACGATCTCCGAATGTCCCATGTAAGCCGCCGCGATGAGGGCGGTCCTACCCTCGTGATCGGTAAGATTCACGTTCGCCCTGTTTTGCAGTAAAATCTTAACAATCTCTTCGTGCCCGGACCAAGCGGCGGCCCGAAGGGCCGTGCGGTTCTCCGCGTCGACGCTGTCGAGGGAACAGCCATGTTGCACTAGCAGCTCTACCACCTGTGAATGAGAATTTTTTCTTTAGTTTGTTCTGAAATTCTGATGACTTATCGAGTATATTTTAGTATGTATTGTTTTTTCTTTTTCAATTAGGATAATGATTAAACAGTATCATATTTTAATACAATATTAAGGCTTTGTATGAGTCACAATATCTGTATTGCAATTATACTATAATCTCCCACAATATATTTGTCATTGTTCGTAATTGATATTAACTAAATTTTAAAAATACGTGCCTAGGAGTTTGAAGGTAATTTAATGAAACAGATAAAAGATATACTTCTAAAGGATGGATACAAAAGCACCTAGAAAATATATGATATTAGGTATAAGTACACATTGATCAAACTAATCTTGTCCGCAAGATGCACCGATAATCCGCAGTACAAAAATTACTTATGTATGAAATGCTACTAAATATCACGTATTTCTGTGGTTTGGTAAATACAGGTATTTCATAAAGGTCTCATGTTATATATTAAAATATATGAAGAAATTATTTATGTACGTCTGAAACTTGCAAACAAGATAAACTTGGAAGTTATACCTCGACCGATTTTTTAAATGATTTGTGTATATAGAAAAGCTCTTATTACTCCATACCGTTTCAAAATGGATTATAATTAATCCAAGGTGACACAATAAAAGGGTTCAAACCTACTCTGTAATCTAAGAATTCTGCATTAACCATATCAGTTATATATTGCTTATCTTTGTTGATACGTAGTTTACGAAATATTACACAAGATTACCCTGATTTCTAACAGAAACTGATTATTTACCTCTGTATGTCCACCCCAAGCCGCGGCGCGTAGTGGAGTCCATCCATCTACGTCTGCTTGGTCTGCATTGGCGCCAGCTTCCAAAAGTACCTAAAAGTTTATTAATTTCAACTCAAAGTTGAATTTACTAACGATGAAATGTAATATCCACTCAATAATAACAAAAAAAGCAGATGTAATAATCTAGAATAAGCTTCTGTAAAATGGTGATGACTAAACATTTAAACAGATTTTAAACATTTTTTTTTTATAATATGAAAGGCATGTAATTTCCCAATAAAATTAGATTTGAGAAAGTGTTTTTTCTAAATCACAGAAAACTGAAAAAATAAATTTTTAAGAAAATAATTATTCTGAAATTGTCTGAAAATTTGTAGCATTTCTTAAATACTTTTTCTTTCCTTTATTTGGATATTTTGCAACATCACAAATAAAAAAATAAAAAAAAATGGAAACAAATCAATTAGTTGTTTTTAGACAAAATTTAACGAATGTTAAGGAAGTTACAAGTCTTCAAAGATGAAGTAAATAATAAATTATATACAATTTGTAAATAAACTGACACAGGGCGGATGCATGCAGTGTATCCTAAAATATGGCATTTTAAAGCTACTATCTCTATTCCAAGTTGCTTTGTTTAACCGCTAGATGATGTTAAAGTTGGTCAAAAATGTTGTTGTTTTCCAAAAAATTCTAAAACTATTCGTAATATTTAATGATATTTGGTATATTAGTACTTGCCTATAGATGTCACTTTTTGACATAATCACCAAAGTTAAAGCATTTGTAGAACCCATAAACAAATATACTCATATTATTTTTGACAGACAGTTACAACTGTTTTATTTTAACTATTAGTCGCTGGAAAGCCATTGAGTTTAGAAACTTCTTTGTCTCTTGATATTTCTTTCGTAAAACACAATGTTTTCGAGAAAAATGGCAAATCACGATATGCATACGAACAAATTCTGCCATTTTTCTCAAAAACATTGTGTTTTACGAAAAGTTTCTAAATTCAATGGTTTTCTAGGGGACTGACTAATAATTTTTAAGAAATTTAAATATGCGACCAAATTTCTTTGGCTTCAAAGACAAGAGGGCCCACGAAAAAATTTCTTAAGGGGTTTCCCGCCAAAAAGCTAGCACTATCAGATTCCACGTCATAAAACTCTTGTGTCTTGTGTACCAAATTTAGTGATTTTCATACAATAGGATTCTGAGATATAGAAAAATACTATTCATAGAGGGGGATTCCAGGAGACTGTAACTTCGACACTTGACAAAAATAAAAAATACGAGACCCCTAAATTTGTCTTAAGAATCTGTGACCAAATTTTGTTGTATTAATTTCGGGACACCGTGTATGTATAAGCATATTTGCTTACAGGTGTGGATACTTTTTCACATTTATGTAAATGTAGTGAATGCCATCTAGTAATTAAAACACCACATTTTTGGCTTAACCACAAACACCTGCCTTGTGTCGCTTCATACTTCATCATATAGTCAGATTTGACAAATTTAAATAAGAAATGTACTCTTTTCAAAGTAAAAGCGCAACGTTTTTTTAAACATACATATACATATAATGTGAAAAGTGTTTTATAGTAATGTAGTTATCATCTACTTTAGACAACAATAAATTTGTTAAAAACAACTCCCAACGAACAACAACTTGTGGTTATTTAGTAATCATTTAATAAATGTTTTATTTTGCAGTGTGCAAAATACCCAAAAATAGAAAAAATACGATAAAATTTGACCTACTTTATTGGTTCAAAATAATTAAAACATACAAATCGGTTGCTGCACCAAAGACTTCTATACAGAAGCTGAAAACCGTCTTGTGATCTGTATCTATTTGTTATTCCAGTTTTTATTAACTTTTAAACTGATTAGAAAAAATAAATCCCAAGGACCTTCAGTTGAAAATAAATACACCAATCTGGAATTTGATCCAAATATTTTCCACAACTGCTCACATCTGTTCCCAACAGGCGGGCTTATTTATAAATTATTTAAATGTACAAAAACAAATTCGGTGACACAGATATTTATAGACGGTGTTCTACTGTTACAACAACTGCCTGTAATAAGTTTAAAACTCACCTTTACGACTTGGGCCTGCCCAAGTCTGGCGGCCACATGCAGAGCGGCCTGACCGTGCAGATCGTGCACCCCAAAGAGAGGTTCCGGGCTCGGTTCGCTGGAGGTACTAGCCAGGGACATCTGGCGAACACAGAAACGGAAATGTGAGAAAAAATTCGCATGCTGGTGTAAGGAATAGCCATCGCAAAGTAAATGTGTACTTTCGCAATGCTATTTTTAAAATCACATGTGATAAATTATTTAATAACGATTTGGCCGTGTTTATTTAACTCAATTTTCGCATAAATGTTTATAGAGTATTTAAAAAGAAATAATCTTGCAGAAACTCCACACTAACATAAATTGCCAAATATGACATATCTGGAAAAGGTGTATTTTTTTCGCATGCCGACAGAATTTCTTTATGTACATCGTTAGTCTTACCCGTCTCTTTTTCTTAACGTACAGGCCTTTAAAAAATTTCAACAAACGCAATACTTTTCCTTTTACGAACTTCATGTTTTAACAATGAAGTACAATGGTGAACTACTTTTAACAAAATTAAGAAATCTATCTTCCTATTAGAACAAATCGGTAAATAATTCTGAAGTAAATAAAACTTAATTCTTTCATGATAAAATAGTGGATCTAAATCTCACCCAAAGCAATTGATCTTGATTAGCGAGCGTCAAAATTTATCAATTTCCTCACTTATAATTTATACTACGTCTCACCAATTCAAGCAATTATTTTATTTACCCTATAAAGTATGAGTTGTCGGCTGTGTTTATATAACCTTGGAATTTTTTCGTACCTAACATAAATCCTGAACTATTTTAGTTTAATTACTAGGTAAGTACGTAGGTTTCCCAACAACTAATTTAACAGTACCGGAATAAAATTAAAAACATTGAAAAGTGTAATGGTTTTACTCAAAGAGAAGCGATGAATTTTATTAAATATTTACCAGTATAAAAACTATTAATAATTGTAAATACAATATCATACCAGCTGTTATGTGACGATCTAGTTCTAAATTCAAAAGGTCAAAACATGACCTAAACAAATTAAATATTATGACCTCAGACATTATTTTTATGTAAACAAATTTAAGTAAAATATTTAACATTCTCAAACAAGTAATAAACAGAAGATCTGTATCCTCATTATGAAAATTACTAGCTAAAAAATTAGTTTTTATTAACTCAAGTAGAAATAAAATGTCTACAAACTTTCCACTTAACAATTTTAAAAAGCATAAAAAATTAAATTAGTGATTCGGCTTCAACTGAATTATAAATAGATGATGTACGATTTTCTATGAAATTATGCAAAAGTACAAGAATAGATTATGCCAATAACCGACATTAATTTGTGGTCACAATTCCATGAACAGTTATATCACCTGTGAAATTGCTGCAATTGTCAGAGGTGATAAAAAATTACTTTAAATTTGCTCTGAGGAACAATTCGTTACAGTCATTTATCTACATCGTCTCTTAGTAAATTTAACCGCTTTGGATTCAAGATGATTTAAACTGTTGAGTAACTTCATTCAATTTATTATTATCTCAAACGAGAGGTACGTGTCTCAGCCTAATTAGAAGATTGAAAGTAATGACACTGAAAAACACACATGCAATTAAATATCTGAAGGAAAAGGTCAATTGTACTATTAAATTTAATGTTTGTCCAATATTTATTATCGATATCAACAAAGAGCATATTATTGCTCAATAAATTACAATCATAATTTTTATCCACCATGATCTGTTGGAGTAATCAAGTTTAATACAAGATTAACGGTGAGGTATTTCTAAAATAGGACATCCTTATTTATAAATGTATGAAAAGGTTGTAATCAATCAAATAATAAGATAAAGTTAAGACCAATATTGAAATTAATTATAGTTTAATGAAACATTTTTCTTACTGGCAATTAAAAGAACAAAAGGACCTTCTTCTTAATAAACATTAATGCTGTAAATCTGGAAATTATTAAAAAAAGCGTTTAGGGGGTGATTTACTTAAAAAATAATGGTACAAGTTCCAGAAATTTGTTCATAAACTTAATAGGAGTTTCGTATCTCTATAATTATTTTTTAATTAACATTTTTTCTGTCATGCGATTAGTTTTCCAATTTGGTGCATTATCATTAACTTGTGACAAAAAAAATCATCAAAATCCTGAAGTCCTATAGCACTTACATGCTTAATAAAAAAAAGTGATGGAAAAATATTACTTAATTAAAAAAAAAGCCAGAGGAACTTGTACCATTATTTTTGAAAGTAAGTTCAACTCAAAAATTTTTTGATCACGATTTCTGAATGCCCTGTATACTAAATAAGCACATTAGTTTTTGAGACAAATTGTTCAAATATTGAATAGTTGTGATCTGCTCATATTAAAAAATTATTTTCCGGCACAAGATAAAAACACCGAGTACAAAAATCGATCCTACCTGACTTTCGTATTCGCAGCCATCGATATCAGCCTGTTCGACAGCCCCTGCCTCGAGCAGCAACTTCAACACCTTCTGATCCGTTGGTAAGAACGCTCCAAAATTAACCCCGGCCATTTCGTTACCTTCCAAAAGACACTCCTCGACGTTGCAGCCGCTGTTAATCAACCATAACACCGTCAACGTATGCACGTCTATCACACTTTTCGTTGCGGACTCTTGGAGCGTATTGCTGTTGGCAGTGGAAGAACTGAAGTCATTCTGCAGAGCATTGTTCTCTATGCTTTGAGCCATGTCGATGTTCTTGGAGTGTTTGCCTTTCCGAATCTTATTTATCTCCGCGTATATCGGATTCTTATCAGATACGGGACTCTTTAAGTTTATGCTCTCGAATTTCGACTCCATCTTGCCCAGCCCTAGGTCTATATTGAATTGACACTCGTCCAAGTTGTTTTGGCTAGTTTCCGTTTCCACAAAACTTGTTTCCAAGTTGTCCATTTCGTAACTGAGTTCTTTTTCGTAGTTCTTCGTTAGTTCTTGCAGCGCCTTCAAGTCGGAGTAAATTTCAGTCGACGTTTTCTCCAGACTGTTCTCCCCAAGCGACAAACAGTTGTTTTTCTCCTGCGACAATTTGTACATGAGCGAGGAGCACTTCTGCGAAGGTTTTTCATTTAGGTATTGCTCCATCCTGGTGAGGTGGAAAGCGTAATCGTAAATTTCCTGATTATTCAACAACTTTGCGTGCAGCGTGTAATACATAGCCAGGATACAGTGGCCGTGGTAGATATTACACAAATATTTCTGGGTGCAATGCTTAATATCTAATAACCACTCGGCAAACGAGTGGTGGAACAACCGAATAGCTCCGCTTTTTGACACTATTATAACCCTCCTCAGCAAGTGGTACCTCTTCTTGAAATCCTCGTGGTTCATCTTCGGGTTGTACACTTTTATTATGTCATACAGCAAAGTCTCACTTAAAGCACATTTTGCGGCTAGGATGACGTTCAACAAGGGCTGGACTTTCGCGAATTGCCTCCGGTTGAACAGGCGTTGGCACAACCACAGATACAGGCCGTTCAAAGTGCCGGGTATCTCCCTAACCTCCCTAAGCACGATAAAATTATCAGACACACCGTCCAACACCTTTTCCAAGTATAGAAAGCAGCCGTTACTCTTAATATGCAGCTGATTCAACATTTCAGCGGTATCCCTGCTTATGTGCTGCCGCAAACTGTTCTCTTGGTCTAACCTTGCTAGGATATATTGCTGCACATCGCGCACTACTTGCGACTTCCTCAAGTCGTCTAAGCTCAGCTTTCTAAATCCAGTGAACATCTTCGCTATGCTCTTCGATTGTTTCCTGGCGGTGCACACTAACAGCAACCATTGGGGGAATAAATGATGGTGATTGGCCAACAGTTCAGCAATTGTTTTGCTCTGTGAGCTTCTCTCTCTTGGCTTAGATCTAGTTAACGTTGAATTAGAGTAAACAAAGGAATATTCGTCGATGGAATCTATCAGTATAAACAGGGAAGTTTTTGGAGGGTCTATTTCGAGCAGAGGGAACAACAGGGCTCTTTTAAGGCAGTCGTCGGGATTCATTTCAATGTTTTTGGCTCTCAAGGCGATTTGTATCTCCGGGTCCGATTTTAGCTTCTCCAGATAAGCGTCAGCTATGATAGTACGTGGATTCACAGGCAAACTAGGTATAGGTGGTGTCTCACTATTCTTCTTCGACTCAAGCGTTGGTGAAAGTAGGTTGTCGGAGTATACGTTACTGTACAAACTTTCTTGAGGCAAATTACAGTTTTCGGAGAGGTTCTGCTCGTAGGAAATATTTTTAACCAATTTAGGACTGAGGCATTTACCTGCCTCACCAGCCTTCTGAGATTCCTGGGCTAACCTCCTCCTCATGCTCCGTTCCTTGTGACTTTCAGTGGAATGATTTAAAATCTGAGTTACAAGTGACCTGACAAACTCACTCAAAGACAAACTCTTCTCGTTATGGCCTTGCAAGAAATGATAACAAAGTAAACGTCTATTTAGGGCCCTCTGTTGCCTGCTAGCTGGACCTTGCGACGGCCAGCACAGCTCCGAGCAAAACGTGGTTTTGCCACATCCCGATCCACCCAGTAAAAGAGCCCCACATGTTTTTGAAACTGGCCGTTGGTCTAAGCAGTGGGCCAATTTTTGAAAGGCCCATTCCCGGCAATAGAATTTCTTTTTATCTTCTTGGGCAGCCATTTTAAGTTCTTTTTTTAAAAAATATATCTACTTTGTTTATTTGTCTTTTTTAGGACGTCAAATCTACCTTTCTTTTTTCATGCAGTCTTAACGTTTCCTTTACGTATCTGGTAAAATTAACACATACTACTTATACAAAATTACATCTTTACTATCTTATTTCACCTGGTGAAGATTAATGTGCTACATTTTATGTAATATTTCATATTCCTTTGGGTTTTTGCCATGTTATGTTGTGATATAGTTACATAAAATTAATATCAAGCATCTGAAAATAAAGAAAAACAAATGCTTAATACAATTTTCTCATGTCCCAAGATAAATTGAACTAAATTAAGATATACAGGCGATAAATTTAAAGTATTAATGAAATGAAGTGACATATGATGCAAATTTAGTTTTTAAGGTCACAAATATGACTCATATAATATTAAAAAGGAGATTATATTACACTAACGCAAAAAACAGACACACGATCTTTACTACGCCAACGAATTAGTCCTGGAATCTAATTAAAAGCGAGATATAATATTAATCTCCAATTTTTATGCAGTGGGATGGGTGATGTGTGAATAAGGTCCATTCTAGCATGCTCCTCTAACAAAAACAAATCCCAAAATGGTTTTTCGTCCCACTCGTTACCGACGTTACACGGAAGAAAAGCTATTCCTTCTACGCGTATCAATAAATAATTTAAAAAGTAAATAAGGTTCACTATTAAAGTAAATACAATCTAAAAATAACCCCCCATTATAGCATCTACGACACCCACACCTAGAGATATCCCCAGATAAAGAAATAATTAAAGAACTTACCCAGAAAACATTTATCTTGATGAATAAAAGCGAAAACACTGAAGAATCACAGTATTTCCACACAATGTTACTACTTATTTTAGAATGTTTTATTATTTCTTGGTTATGACAAAATAATCACTGTCAAATGTAATGTTTCAAGTTCACCACTAGATGTCGTTAAAACTATTGACGCTGCATCACCCGCGACATTCGAAATGTCAGTTTAATTTTCAAAATTTCAAGTGATAGTTTCATATTTCAGTTTTCATTGAAAGTTATGGATTTTTTAAAAATTTAGCATGATTAAACTTATTTGTTACCTGTTTCTTAAAAAATGGCATGTGCTCGATGCGGATGTGGCGTTTACCAAACGGAAGACATAATAACTCTAAATAAAATATGGCACAAGTGCTGCTTCACCTGTTGTAAGTAGCTGTATATTTTTAAATCTAAGAATTCGAGCACCTTGCGAAATTCTTGGATATTTGAAATAAAATTAATTTAACTGGTAGCGACATCTCACGAGTACCACCTGTAATTGTAATGAATAGAATCTGGAGAACTGCCACCATATTTTTTTAACATAAAGTAAACTGCTAATTTATATTAAACAAATATTTTCCTTTGTACTTTGAGACTATTGTGAAAAATTGAAAAATAATGAGGTAATCCATAGATTTTCAAATATAAAATTTAATTACTTACGAGTTTGATACACCGCGCCATCTATCTTGAGATAGCATAACTAACAGGCGATAGCGGTGTGCCACACAGATACCTTTAACGCATTTTGTCAAAATTTGCCATTCACATTCAAATCTTTTAAAAATTTTCCAGTGAAATTTTTTTCTAAATTCCTTTTGTTTTTACAGATAGATGCAGAAAACGATTAGACAAATGTACCGCAAAAATTTTCCAAGGTGAGGTTTTTTGTGACCGCTGCTATAAATGTTTACTTCAAGGGTTAGAGTTACTTTCTTCACCATCTAAACCTTGTCGAGTGGCCTCTACGCCAAGTTGTACATGCGAAAAAGGCATCTCCAAACCGGCTAAAGTTTTACCTGCGTTAGATAAATCGAAGAAATATCAAATCTGCTTCTTGACAAACCAACAAGTAAGGATTTTGTAAATTCTAAAAGAATACATAAAAAGAACTCTTGTAAGGGGTATTTGAGGATCGGCATGTGGTTTTAGGTGAGAATCGTGAAATCCTGCAGTTACATTCCCGATAAGAAGTCGAATATTGACAAGAAGGATCGTTACTGTTTGGCTTTTCCTTTACCAAGAGAGATAGCAAATTACTGTAATAGGGTGCATACGATGCCTAAGCAAAAACAGTAAGTTTTTTAGTTATTAACAATATTTCAGTTTAATAAGAGAAAGTGTGGCGGAGAAGAAGATTAATTATAAAAAAACATACAAGGTGTTTTGATAGACAAGATTCCTAACTGCTGATATTGCGGAAACTACTACTCAATGAGCCCCAGTTAGCATTGAATTATACCAGCAACATTTAATAATTAATTACAATGGCACAAAAAAAGTGATCTGTACCTACCTTCGATTTGACCCAATAGGCTTTATGTATTTTCACGTGTTGAATCCGAATCTGAAGTCCGTTTAGATCAAACACCCTCAAAATTTGGAGTAATTTGCAAAATGTGAAAAATAGCCGAAAATGACATGTGGGCAAAAAAATCGAATAAATTGGTTCTAAACTTGATCAAATGGGTTTCCTTATGTATTTTGATATTATACTCAATTCAAATCTTAATTCTTTTAAGCTGCATTCCCCAGAATTTGCAACAATCGCAAAATAATAGTGAAAAATCACAAAATCAAAAACAATTTAAAAAAATGTAAAAATCTTTGAATTCAGTAGGCGATAAAAACAAGATGTTGATTGCTGTGGCTATCAGGTAATGTCATTATTGTTGTGTTTCTTTAGGATTCTCATCACTCCACAAATGCAAATTATAAAGTGTCCGCAGTGTATCAAGACAATTAAATGTATCTAATATTCACAAAACTGTAAAAACAACTTCTTTAGCCATTTCATTTAACTTCAGCTCAAGAACTTAAAAATTTAGATCCCAACGCACGTTTACAATTTTGTCGCTGGTTGGTGAATGGCTTCGTAGAAGATAATAATATGCTTCAAAAATTGTTTTGTACCGACGAATCTTGTTTTACAAGGAACAGAGTTGTAAATTTTCATAATTTGCATGTGTGGAGTGATGAGAATCCTAAAGAAACACGACAATAATGACAGAAATAGGTTATCTAGATTGGATCAAGCGTTCTTCCCATAAATGTTGTCGAGTAGAATTTGATTGTGAAGTCTGTTGAGTCTCATGACTCAAAAAATTTGTAAAAATTGCAAAATAGAGCAAAAAAAAGTAGAAATCATGAATCCCAAAAAAATCTGAATAAATGTCACGGATATGAATTCCTTCCAAATAAATTCGATTGACTCGAACCAGGCTTTCTTTGACGTGGCTCTTCCACTTTTCTTCTCTTATAGTGAACTATTTTCTCTTCGAATGACTTACGCAGTGGGGTTCTCTTTCTCTTCTGTCTATTTCTAATTCGTTCCTCTCTTTATAGTGCCCAACAGAAATCTGCCATCATGTTGATATCCCACCTTCCTTGGTATTGATTCTCCATTTTACTTATATCTTGATGGAATCTTTTTACTTGTTCTTCACTGTCACTGTAGTCTCTAAGGTTTTCAGGAAAGTAGTAAAAGTGAGAGTGTAGGAGATACAATAATTTAAGATTCACCAAGCAACCTAACTGATTGAAATTTTTCAAGATTTCTTCAACCAAATTTTCGTAATCCCCACTCATCATTTCCTAAAAAGTTCCGAGAGATATTCTTGAAACTTTGCCATGCTGCTTTTTCAGTGTCATTCATCCTTGTAATGAAATTTTCGTTTCGAATAAGAGTTATTGGAATTTGAGGTCCATCAAAATACTTTCTTTCAATTTCGCATCACTTATCGCTGGAAACTTTTCTCCTAAATATTGAAAACAGTCACTATATTTGTCCAGAGCGTTGACAAACTGTTTCTTGAGACCAACGTAGTGATTTTTCCTATTATTTTTCGATTTTAGGCATAGAAAAACATTGTTTTAAGTACTTCATTTGATAGGACTTTTAGAAATTTATTTGCAATACCTTTCTAATAAAGTAAACATACCTGACATATTTATAATTGTAAAATAATATATTTCTAAGAAATATCTTGTACTTTTTTTGTTCCAACATCACCCTTGATAAAGACCAACAAAAAATAGCTACAATAGAAAGATATTATTTAAAATTTTGGTCCAACCAATCAGTTCTTCGTAACGTTGTTTACGGCGATTGTCATGGCAACGAGGCGGCCAACACGGGAGCAAACTACAACGTGGAGGAACGAGTAACGCGGACATTGAAGCAGCATTGTCATCGCCCATCGCCTGCCTTATACGATACGCGTCGCCCAGTGCACTATTATAACGGTTCTTTGTTAATATTTGTTTTGTATAATAATTGTAGAAAAGTTTCCTATGTATGATCCAGTATGTATTTTATTGGAAATGCCATTTTCCAGATGGAAAATGAAGGACAAAAAGGATTTTTTAAATTGCGAGACAACGTGTCGTTCGAAAGTTTCGGAATGAATGGTATCCGGAGTGTAAGTGGTTGTGTGGAAGTGTTTATTTAAAAAAATTTTGGGAACGTCACGCGAGGCTATCGTAACCACGTATCTTCTTTAGAACATACATATACTATGTGCGTAGAAATCCACAAGCCGAACTAATATTTTTATTTTTTATAAAATCTAAATGAAAATCCTTCTCGCGAACGTCAGTTTTTCGGTATTATTGCAAATGCAACTAAAAATTCCCGGATTCATTTTTAAAAAAATTATAATTTTCGCCTGCTGTACTTATTTATTCTTTTTAGNTGTATTTGTGCTATAAAAAAATATGTAATAGAAAACGTAAGAGGCGATGGGCAGTACATCCAATTAATAGAAATAGAATTCAATTGCGTCCATTGCATCCATGTCCCGCTTGATCAATAGCTAAACTAAAACTAAAACAAACTGTGCTAAAACTATTCTTGACAGACAGAGCCACTGGACTTGCGACAAAGAGCGCTTTGCATAAAAACGCCGATATACTTTCGTGCTTTTTCGGAACGCGTGTCGCCAAGCGTTCTGTAAAGCCATCGCGACAGAATTGAAAACGCGAGAGCAAATAAACGAGCGTAAAATGCATAAACGTAGTAACTCTATTCAGGGTATCTTGAAACGCGGCGTTTCTGTCAACTCCGCGTTGAGAGGAGAAAAACGCGTGCATAAAAGAGGTCTTATAACGGTTCTTTGTTAATATTTGTTTTGTATAATAATTGTAGAAATGTTTCCTATGTATGATCCAGTGTGTATTTTATTGGAAATGCCATTTTCCAGATGGAAAATGAAGGACAAAAAGGATTTTTTAAATTGCGAGACAACGTGTCGTCCGAAAGTTTCGGAATGAATGGTATCCGGAGTGTAAGTGGCTGTGTGGAAGTGTTTATTTAAAAAACTTTTCTGTATGACGTGGTATAAAGTCGGGCGTATGGAATAAGGAGGGATTTAACAATTTTGGGAAAGTCACGCGAGGTTATCGTAACCACGTATCTTCTTTAGAACATACATATACTATGTGCGTAGAAATCCACAAGCCGAACTAATATTTTTATTTTTTATAAAATCTAAATGAAAATCCTTCTCGCGAACGTCAGTTTTTCGGTATTATTGCAAATGCAACTAAAAATTTCCGGATTCATTTTTAAAAAAATTATAATTTTCGCCTGCTGCACTTATTTATTCTTTTTAGTCAATCAATGAATATGCTTCACCAATTTTCAATGTCAAGAGGCGCCACTGGACTGGTTAACGTGTTTATGTCACAATTTTGTGAAAATTTGCCTTTAATTAGATAAATAATTGGCTTAAGTTTCATAATTTTGAAACATATTTTAGAAAACGCGATTTTGCGCCACGCCACGCCGTCAATGTCTTTCTACCTTCATTTTGACCACCAGTAATAAAAGTTTAGTTCACTGATTCTAAAAAACTATATATTTTCATGAAGCATAAAGTATTTCTTTAAGAAAATAAATTTTCAGTTAATTTTAATATTGTAATAGAAGTATTTTGGAGTTTGACTGAACTCATAGGTTATATGGGACAACCTTTCCTTAAATATTTTTTATAGAAAGTCTATCTAAACCAACCAAAGTGATCAAAAACTAATGGTCGCCTATTTGTTTCGATTTATTTACTTTTTTAAGTAGTACTTCTGGTTAAGCAAATATAACTTAGAAATAAATACTTTTTTTTGGCGTGCAGACACTATTCAGTTTCTTAATATTTGATATATAAAACCTATCTTTCCAGAAGCCCAACCAATTGCTGCTGCACGGAAAACACTCGTTACCGCTCTAAAAAATCAGACAACACCCCGAGATTCGCGAAAATACGTTCCCTGTCCCAACAACCTCCCTGCCTCATCTGTCGGGAGAACTACAGATCAGCCCCCCCGCCCCCTCAGTGCTGTAAATGTTCCCGGATCAACAGCCCCCCTCCGGGTTGTCGCTGTCTTACGCCGGTTTGCACTTGCTGTCCACAACCGCCGCCTTGTCATTGCCCCCCATTACCTCCGTCATGTCGTTGCCCTCCGCCTCCCCCAGCTTGCCGCTGTCCCCCGCAACCTCCAGATTGTCGTTGCCCTCCGCCACCCCCAGCTTGCCGTTGTCCCCCGCAACCTCCAGATTGTCGTTGTCCACCACGACCTCAGGAGCGGTACTCGTCGCTGTCTCAAGAACGATATCCCCCGCAAACGGAGGAATCTCCTCCGCCGTCGCTGCCGCAGTGTTGTTGCGCATCACCTACTCCTCCGTCACCCCAACAGGAGAAATGTTGCTGTCCCCAGTGCAGTCCCCCGCCTCGTTGCAAGATCCACTCGCCCCCTGTCAAGCCTCCATTACCTAAAACGTAAGTCGATGTATTTTAAATTATAATTACATATTAATAAAAATAGCTGTGCAGGGAAATTGGACGTCGACTAAATCAAGTTTTGTTTCAAAATTCAAATGTCCTTAGAAAACTCGATGGGTGAAGGTCGATTTAATTCGGTATCTTAGACTATAAACAAAAGTCGACCATCATCTCCATCAAGCAATTTATGACACTGGTTTGAATGGATAGATTTTGTTGTATACTAAAATTCTTTTTTGATCTTTTCCTGAGTGACATCTTTGGATCGCCTTGTACAGAATTCATAACTAAACTGCAACAGCAGCAACATCGTTATCATTGTATTATCTTTACATCACCAGTGGCATGGAATTTTATAATTAGCTTGCGAATAGCTCTACGAGTTACAGTTACATTTGGATACTTTTTATTAAAAATTTGTGTTGGATATCGATATGAAACATTACCAATAGACTACAAGCCCATTCAAGGCGTCATTTGACCCAGCATGAATTACTTATAAATCAATACTACCACATATAACAATAACTTTAGAAACTATGCCGTCAATTCTTGTTGGTACATGTGAGTACACAGGTAAGCTAAACCTGTTTGTTCACCAAGGGGGTGGTTTTCGGCAAAACATTTTTGTACGGCATTCTAAAGTATATAGGTTATATAAAAAAAAATGAACCTCGACCTAATGCCGTACAAAAATAGCAATACCGGAAGCCAGGAAAATTTTTGATTTTTCGATAATTTTAGCCCGGGTTTTGGTGATTTATTATAGTACGGCATTTATATTGCAAGTTTTTGATCGATACATAGATAAATTTTTAAGCGACGCCGTACGTACTTGCTGATACAGGGGTTAGGAATACAGGGTGCAACCCTCTATTTGTAAGTAGCGTATGGGGGTGATTTGAACCAACATCAAATTCACTAATTTTAATTCTATTTTATAAAATAATGACATTTTTGTCCATGCCGTACATTTTTCATGAAACATGTGCTTAGGTACTATAGGAAAATCCTCTGAAAAGTAGGATTTCACGGTGAAAAATTTTTGTACGGCATTAATATATTTTGTTAATAATACTGACAACAATAATCAACAAAAACAAAATGCCGTACAAACAAATGTTTCTAAATGTCTTGAAATATATTTTTGCAAATAAATAAGTATTACTTGCAAGAATTGATTTTATTTTTACTACTATTTTCTCCTTAATACAAATTATTTACTACTGTACCGCCTTTCTATAATAAGACTTACGATTATAGAAATATTTTTCAGTAATGCCGTACATATTTGTCGATACAGGAGTGAGAAACCCCGGATGCAAACCCCTAT